CACGGGCACCGGGCAGCGGGCCCGGGCGGGGAGGGCACGGGCGGCTCGGCCCCGCTCCCAGCGGGACGGCGCGGGCGGCGAGATCCCGGCCCTGCTTCCGGCTCCGCAGGAGCAGGTTCCCGCGGCCGCTCCTCCCTGCGGGAGCCTCCGGGCTGCGCTGGRAGCCTCCAGGGTCGCAACGGGCGCTCGGCCGCCGCGGCGGCTCCCGGCCCTTCGGCCGCTGCTTGCGGGCGACGTTTCCCGTCACGGCTGCCGTTTGCGTGGGGCAGCCGTCACCTCGCAGCCTGGCCGCTCCCGGCGCGGATCCCGGCGYGGATCCCAGCACAGCTCCCATGTGTTGTCTGCTGCCACCCGCGCCGGCCGTTTGCCAGCTGGTCTCTGTTGTCCCTGTGGCGCCTTTCGGAACCCGTTCCCGCGCTGCAGGCTGGAGGAGGGGATGCAGGGTCTGGCCCTGGCTGCTTCCGGGGCTCTATTCCTGGCCTCCGAGGTGCCGGCTGCGAGCTGGGACTTGCCTGGCACTGGCCGCTTTCCCAGCATCCTGCCTGGCTGTGGAGCTTCCCGGCGGCACGAGGGAGCGGACACCTGATCCCCTCCGGCGAGGAGGGAGAGGGGGCGCTCCTCGGAGGAGCCGGCAGGTGGTTAAGCAGACCAGAGGGTGGTGATGGGCGCAGGATGGACGCCCTTGCAGGATGGGCTACTTAGGAGCTTTGTCTCCCAGGAGCGCTGCAGGGTGGGTTGGTGGTGAGGACGTCAGCTTAAAGGAGAAAGGCCCCTTGTCCCTGTCCATCAGCCCGCTGCCGTCTCACGCTCGCCCCTCTCCTGCTCCGGCTCTATGGCTACCTGCCGCAGTCGAGCCGGCAGATGTCCACCATGCGCTCCGCTCAGATCTTCTCCTCCGCCCTTTCCGAGATGCAGAAGTTCTACGGGATCACAGTCACTGGTGTCCTAGATGAGGAGACCAAAATGTGAGTTTCTCCATGCACTGGTCTCGCTTGCGCAGAAGGGAGTTCGGCTCTCTCCTGATCACCCCCCTGCTCGCCCCTGCTGCCATAGTTCCTTGGGGTCTTTGCACCGGTGTGGTGCACTGAGCCTTTGCTTGATGCCCTCCTGGCAGGTGGATGAAGCGTCCCCGCTGTGGGGTCCCAGACCAGTTTGGTGTCCAGATGAAGTCCAATATGCGGCGGAAGCGGTACGCGCTCACGGGGCGGCGCTGGAGCCAGAACCATCTCACCTTCAGGTACCTGAGATCTCTCCCGTCCCACCTGTGGAGAAGGGGGCAGCGCACAGCCAGGAGGGGTGGGAAAGGCCGACAGGGTCCATGGTGATGTGGAAGTATCAGCAGAGACCACGTCACCTTGTCATGCTGGCAGCATGGCCCTTGGGCCAGCAAGTCCCTGGCACCCACCTCGTGACAGCAGCTCCCAACTTGGGATCTGCTCCTGGCAGGGAGGCACCAGCTGCACCCCTCCAGGCTAACGCAGTGAGGGGGAGCGAGCGTTGCCATGGCTGTCCTGAGCGCGCGTCGCTCCTCTTGTGCTCACAGCATCCAGAACTACACGGAGAAGCTGGGCCGGTACCACTCGTATGAGGCCGTGCGCCAGGCCTTCAGGGTGTGGGAGCAGGCCACGCCGCTGGTTTTCCAGGAGGTGCCTTACGAGGACATCCGGCAGAAGCGGAAGAAAGAGGCTGACATCATGGTGCTCTTTGCCTCCGGCTTCCACGGAGACAGCTCCCCCTTCGACGGCGTCGGGGGCTTTCTGGCCCACGCCTACTTCCCCGGGCCGGGAATGGGAGGGGACACGCACTTCGACTCGGATGAGCCCTGGACGCTGGAGAACACGGAYGTGTCTGGTGAGCCGAGGGCGAGAGCTTGGGTTGGGAAGGTGACGCAAGGAGCTCGTCCGCCTGGGTTGTCGCATGGCGGGTGGGAGCTCCCGTGTCTTGGTGGCGCAGGCTCCGCTCCATCCCGCCCACAGAGCGGGCACCTCGTGCGCCGCCCCTCTGCCCTCGCCGACGGCGCCTTTTCCTGCAGGGAACAACCTCTTCTTGGTGGCCGTGCACGAGCTGGGGCACTCGCTGGGCCTGGAGCACTCCAGCAACCCCAGCGCTATCATGGCCCCCTTCTACCAGTGGATGGACACGGAGAACTTCCAGCTGCCCGAGGACGATCTCAAGGGCATCCAGCAGCTGTACGGTGAGGAGCTCGAGGCAGGCGCGGTGTTCGGGGCCGTGCCCGGCATGTGCAGGGGAAGCGAGGTGGTGGCCAGCTGCTCTGTATTTGCCCCCATCCACGTTCTCTCCCGCCCTGTCCAGGTACTGCGGATGGGCGCCCTCAGCCCACCAAGCCCTTGCCCACCGTGACGCCCCGGAGACCTGGCAGACCTGACCAGAGACCCCCCAGGCCGCCCCCGCCGGGCAAGCCGGAGAGGCCCCCCAGACCCGGCGGCCCAGAGCGGCCTGACCAGTACGGGCCCGACATCTGCG